GTTTGTTAAAACTAATTAGCAGAACCCTACATAGTACTAATAACAGTATTCAACCATAAGGTAGCAATGAAATTTTATTTTAATTGAATTTGTGAATGTGTTTTTATCAAGTTATAGCCGGTTAGTTGCAAAGTGTGCAGGAAATAGCGTAAGTAAATCACATGCACTTGATTTCTAGTGGATTAGATTACGTCATCTCTCACACAGTTTTAATTTGTTATTATTAATTAAAATTTAATGATATTTCGTTTAAAATATCTTATAGAATACTTTTAAAAGTATATTGAATAACTAAAATAAAATATGCATTTATACTGTTTTTAGACTTACAATGTATAAGAATATTGAATGTCAAGTAAACTGCATGTGCATAGAAAATTATTTTAATTAAAGAATTAAATCAAATAAACAACATATGAATAAAAGTAAAATGTAATAAAAATTATAATAAAATAACACAAAACAAATTATTTTATTCAAAGCATTTTATGAATTTAAGCCACAATTAATAGATTGACCACAAATTAGTTCAGTTGTATACTAATACCAGGTATACTAATAATAGTCTAATTCTGTAAATAAAAACAATATTTTGAGTGATAGTGAGCGCGCGACAGAATCCCAGAATCGATGACTGCATTTGAATTGAGTTCTCAAATGCATTGAAATTTTTTGGCAGAAAAGCAATAACTTTTGAACAACTGTTATATCCGTATGACTCAAATGTCTTAAGATGTCACACAAGTCTCTCACCGTAATTGCCATCCTATTATCAACGGTACATCTGGTGCGGAGTCAAGTGTTTCAAGACATTGAGAACAACCGCATCTGCGAGGAGGAGAAGGACTTCGTGGACGCCGTTGTCTTCTTCGACGACCACTTCTATGTGATAATTGGCGACAATTACTACGACTATCANTTCTTCGACGACCACTTCTATGTGATAATTGGCGACAATTACTACGACTATCAGTACGTTGCGGGCGGCTTTCGGTACCTGAGCGACGGCCCTCAGGTGTACCAACTCAGAGACTACGACAGGAGATGGCTGTCCACTCCAGAGGTCATGGAAGGGGATAAGACAGTGAATGGTTAGTATTGGCGACCAAACAGTCCCTATCATGCGTTCAAATGAATGTAACGTTTTCTTGTCACCCAAATAGTGGGCCGATATTTGGGCGGATTTTATCAGCACCCGGTTAGTTGTGGGAATGGCACCGATCTCAAGGCCACCCATTACAGGGTCCTCGTCGATGAGATTCCATTCTTCAATGGATCACTTCATAACTCACTGTTCGCATCGTTGGACGAGAGTGTAGTTCCCATAAGTAAACGTCAGGTCCCACAGCAGCCTCCCGACGACCCCAATGCGGGATCAGCTAACGATAGTTCATGAGTTCTCGGGCATTGACTGTTAAGTCTCCCACCTAGACTAGGCCTACTATGTTGAGTTCTGAGACACCCGGCCCTACTGCTCCCTCCTCTCCTTGTGGGCTTACTATCACTTCTCCCAAAAAAGCTAGAAGATTTTGAAATAGACCCAAATGTCTCACCGTTTGAAGACATACACCAATGCGTATACTATATGCAGCGTATGGCACAAATTCAGGTGATCTTCTTCGCGGACAAACAGGCGCTCAAAGAGTTCTATCACATCCAGAAGTTGAACCAGTATGGTTTGGGCAATATAGGTGCCAATTCATATAATGCCAGCTTACTTGAGCCTTACTCATATCTGATCGACATGGAGGAAGGCTTGGGTGAATTGTACCGAAGGGAAGAACTCCATTGGTTTCTGCCACCCGATGCCGCCGATCAGATCAGTCACGAGCGTCTCCATCTGCCCGTTGTTCACGATTTCAAGACATTAACTGTATTTATTATCATCAACGGCCGGACAGACATTGATGGCAGGCCGTCACCTATACTCTACTATAATAGCTATAAATACAGACAAATTAAAAAAACGTGGAAATCTATATTTGAGCTGCTAGCGATATAGATATGACGTAAAGACCGGTTTGGGTCGCTAGCGTACCAAATGCATCTTTACCTGTCCCTAAAGTGAATAATACGAAACCGCCTCGGGATGTCTCAGCGAAGGCTAGATACCCGAGGACCTACATATCTGTTTGAACTCCAGTTTATCGGCAGAGATAAGCCCCAACTTGTACTGCAAAAAGTGAGTCGACCGAGAATTTGTGTATTTAATTATAAAGGATATTCTGTTTGATGGAAATATTCTGCATATCTATAGGATATGAAAGCGATGGACTTATTTGAGTGTGTATTCCCGAGCATTTCAAGTGAAATTGGTTTCTATGTGTTTGGCGTTATAATCGCGATTCTGGTCATCATTTTCGTGGCCGTCCTGTCGTTCGCTGTGGTCAACAACTTCTGCTTATGTAGGCATAGGAATCGTATGAGTGTTTTGTGTGAATTGAAAATAATTTTGTGGTTTTTTTTTGTGATTTTTGAATAGCAAAACATCAGAGATTGGTTTTAAGGAGAAATAAGACAGAGTCAGAGAGTACAACGGGGACGAGTCGTGTAGATCTCAATAAAGTGAGGGACAGTAGTGCCAAAAGTGAGGTCAAGAATACCCTTCAAAGGAGTGAAAACCTTAAGCCCGAGAATTAGCAGAAATATTGCATTTTCATATAAATACTCCTTTTATAAAATAATATTTTAAGGAATTTGTTTTAAAATAGATATTATTTACTATGATCTCTGTGTATTTTGCAGAATTGCTTTTTTAAATAGAAATTTGTTTTAAAAATTAATAGTCATTCATATGTGTCACTGAATAACTTAAAGTAAATATTGTAACTTAAAGTAAAGTCATTTATATTTCTTATTGATATTGTAACTATTATTGCAATGTTTTGTACAAAATTATAAATAATACCAAAGTATTAAATAATAAACAAAAAGTTAATAATTATTATGTTGATTATGTTATTATTTTATAGAAATCCAAATGTTTAGATAGTCAAATTGCTATCTCATTGTGAATTGATAAGAATTGTTAATAAATATTGTCATAGAAAATATATTTTGATGAATTATAATTACTATGACTAATAAAATTATTTGTACCATTATAAAATAGTATAAAATAGAGAATATATTCTTATCGCCAGGTATAATTATGATATCATCATTTAAACTGCTAAGAAGTGATTAGTTTAGAAGTTTTAAAGTGATTCTTAACTTAAATTTGATTATTTTTCTTAATAATAATAATGTTTAAAATTACAGCTATTTTTATAACAGTATATTTACTGGCAATTGGCGTTCAATCAAAACAATGTCCATTAATCCAATCGATGGGTGCCATCAATGGACCAGCTGTATAAATAATTATTTATTATTAATAAGATAAATTTTAATAACAATAATTAATTTGTTAGTTTATGGGACTGTGGTATCAATTGGAGAAATATCCAGACATTTTTGAGACGGGATTCAAGTGTCAAACAGCAAACTATTCATTGAATACCGACGGGACTGTCAATATAACACACAATGAATACACTGATGTGTTAGATATGAAACATATAACTTATACGTTACTTGCTTAATTAACCATTTCTTAATCCATCAAACTTTAGAGGTGATTATGAGATAAGTTATCATGGTTATGGCATACCGCAACCTAACAATCCTTCTAATGTTACGGAAATTTTTCCTGAATGTAAGTATATTTTAGTTATTAAATTAGACTTTTAACCTTACTGGTTAGTACTCCTGACTTATTAATACTGTACCGTAAAATACAAATTTATGAATTATAACAACAGTCCCACCAATGAATGCAAATGTGTTGGTTGTGGCCACCGATTATGCCTCGTATGCGTTGACCTATTCGTGCCGTAATTTGCCATTCAATCAGAGATATGGTTTGTAGAGAATATTCTATGCAATTAATTAATTTGTTAAATTGTAAAAATTGCAAAATTAATTCATTATGATCATTTAGAAAATGCGTGGATTTTAGGCCGAAATAAAACCATATCATCGATAAGTCCGCAAACTCTGTCACAACTGAAACAAATGTTAAGTTCAAAGGGCAGTTCAGTTCAAAAATTTCGGGTAACCACTCAAGACTGTGACAATTAATATGACAACTATATAATAAATAAAACTTTTATAAAGCTATATTATAAAACATTGTATAAATAAATAATTGTAAAAGTTTATTTAACTACAAAATGAAAATCATATTACCGGTAATCCTACAGATTGGATATGTTTACATCAAAGTTGTTAGTATAATTATTGTGATTATTTAACATTTTGTGTAATATTCTTGTAACTTTGTTGAGACAATTTTTTATGAATTTTCTCTCTATACGTGAGCATAAAATTAAAATTATATAAATTATATTTAGCATTAAAAATAAACATATAATATAGACGATTGAATGAATGATTATCACAACTTAATATTCAAATGAATTTGAAAATCAGAGGAAACGAAGTAACAAATTATAGGTTTAATTAATTGTCAAAAAGGTTTGTTATTCACACATCAATTGTCTATTTTCATATTGTTTATTGTTTTTAAAAACATGAGATCTTATTATATTTTAAAATATGTCCTCATCAATATATATTTCTAATCCTAACTCATTTTTAAAACTAATTTCTTAATATTTATTTGTTTTTTGAAATAATTAAGATATTTTTGACGGGGAGACGAGTCAATTATATGACAATAACAATCATTTACACTCGCAATAAAATAAATAAATATACATTATCTCTCTTATCTGATGTATGTTTGAAAGTAATATTTGATTTAAATTTCAAATTTATTGTAAATTATGACAAATATTTAAACATTGCTTTCTCTGGTATTGCAAAAGAAATGAGAAAATGTAGATTATGGAGTGTGTGAGAGTGTGAGTGGCTATGAATTAATTAGCAATGAATTAGATCTAGACTTAAGTCTATATTCAATCGGTAGAAGACATCAATTGCATCAGAGAGACAGCAATAGCAGGGCTATCGGTACACCAAAATCACGGACAGGGAGGGGATAAATAGGATGATAGGGGTCAGGGAAGTAATAGCAGTGGCGGTGACAGGGGGTCAAAGTCGGTGGTGGGGGAGGGGTTACGGGGTCTTAAAGGTGCAGACGTGTTGGTGGACATGCTTTTCGATGCAGTCAAGTCGGGTGATCACGTAATGACAGTCACCCCATTTGCAACAGTACTTAAACTTGTTGTTATCGACAATCATCTGATAGTGTACTTTGAGGGCATTGAGGCCACAGATGCCGATGTCCTCCATGCCATCGATGCCGAAGCCGCACCTATGGTTGGTCTCGTGCTCCTCGAGCGCCGCTCGTGTCTTGAAGGCCTTATCGCAGTTAAACGCTTTGCAAACAAATGGGAAGCACTTCTTCTGGTGCTTTCGCACGTGAAACTGCATGTCCTTCTGGATCGTGGTCTTGAAGTCGCACCCATTGCTCAGACAAAAGTGCACGTTCTTGTTGTCTATCACTTCCGTCCGGAAGTGTCTCTTCCAGTTGTCCTTCGATGACATCACCTAACGGTTCACACAAAGACATACACTTATAATACAGACATATATATCGGCACTTTAGAGGCATAATCATGAATCAAGACTCCTGGTGACAGTCAACCACTTCATAGGCTATCGAACCCTAGGTTAGGCTTTAAAGGCTATCACCAATTCGTGTCCAGTAGACCACTAGCTCTCTCTCTCTCTCTCTCTCTCACTCACTCACTCCCACTCTATAGCGTACATAATGTATAGTCTGCACTACAGTACTATTAATAGCCTATTAGTGAACCCACAGTACAATCAAGTGATACAGACGTGTCTAACGCACACCCAATGACTGACATAACAAACAGTTATAATATGACAACATTTGGTGCCATTATATGACAACAACACTAAGACACCAATCAATCACTGAATCACATCCAATACAATGTGTCAAACATTCAAATCCATTACTACTGACAATCATATGTCACTCAAAGTGGCATCAAATCAATGATGACTTGTACTCGCATTTCACACGCAAATTGACTATCATTTCAATCAAACACAGCATTCATATGATAATAACAACACAATATAGGTATATATGATATGATATACTCACGTATGGATCCGATAGTAATGGCAGTGACAGTGAATGCAAACAGTGTTGAATGGCACCAGAAATGTCTCAACAAAATCACAACAAATTGTTTGTATTTTTTAAGACATAAAAAGCGCCAAAAAACGTCTCAATACAGTGTGTCTCACAAATGGGTCCACTATTGCGATAACCGACTGACACTTGACTCGCAATAGCCTTTCAATAGTTCGTCGGTTGTATCGATTGGTTTGAAGTCTTATTATTTTAATATCATTTCTGTTGTAATATAGACTATAACGCGATATGTATTAAAGCACTCAATTATATACACCGTTCCCCTTCTCACTCAGTCTGTGTGTGCCTTTAATTATGCCATTTCTGTATGCCAGTGCATAGACTGTTTACATACCGTTCCCTCATATTGTCTATGCCAGGCATATCCAGTATCATTTTGTCCGCACAGCCTATATAACGACATCTGTTGTATCCGAGTCTATATAGTGAATTGAGACTGCTCATTTTCACGGATTATTCAATGATTCAATGCATGATCCTACATATTTTTAGTGGTGCTCTTTGCAGTCACTTTTTATTACTGTACAAGTTTTTATCATAGAAAAAGTTTTTTAGTTCACATTTTTGTTATCATTTATGGTTTTTATTTGAGATTATTTCGAAGAGATTGCAATTTTTTGAAACTTAATATAATATTTTAAAAGTTTCAAAGTTATACAAGTTTGCACAGTATGGGTATTGTTATTATAATAGGTTTCTTATTACAATTGAGTACTATGAAATATACTTGATTATACCATTATGGCTTAAATACGTATAAACTACTTGAAAACTTTTTAACAAACTTAATAAAAAAAATTTTTTAACAAACTTTTAATAAAAAAAATTTTTTCCCCGTTTGGGGTGCGAACTCATATCCCCTATACATCTCCTTTCAGGTGGTCTCCTATTGATTAACCTTAACTTAGCTACTGTTAGGCAGACACTCTAACCGTTACACCACTCTAGGCCCCACCACCACCCTTTGCTAAAATAAGCTTTTAAATTATATTTTGAATTTTATTTCAAAATATTTTATTTTATGTTTATTTGTGGTTACAGTTCATAGTATTATACACATTAAATATACACTAACCAATGTTAAATAAACTCTAAAATGTATTGAAATAAACAAAAATGTAAAAATGATTTAATCAATAAAATTAAAAGTTAATTTCAGACAAAATTAATTTGATTGATTAATGCTAATTATATTTGATAAATAGATTTAAGAAACTATTCAAAACGTTCAGACAGTGCCTCGCATTTGGCGTTCAATTTGTTAATTTTTTGCACTAATTTGGTTGCACTACTTTGCTTACTATCACCAATGGATCCATAGTTCTTAACAAAATTATTAAGTCTAGTCTTGAGTTCATTCACTCCACGTTTGATTCGTCCAATTTTGTGCCCAAATTTTATTTCGTTGTCTGAAACTTCTTCCGATCTCAAGCCCGTCAACAAAGCATTTGGTGATATATAACTCGTTTGTCTTAATCGGTGTTTGAGACTGTCATCGATGGACAGGGAGTCCGTCAGAGTCCTCATATAAATCACTTCCTGTGACCGCAATATTCTTAACGCATCCAAAGCCGTCCACAAAACATATGGCATTAGTATTGAGATAGTAATCGATATAATAAGTGTCTCAATGAATGCCACGTATATAATCCAAAAACTCATTTTATGTTAAAATGTTTGCTATTATAAGATAATTATCATGAGTTATCAATTGTAACTTATAATGTGACTAATATTCAAGTGAATCAGTTTTAATTTACAATTAACTGGAGCTAAAGTCTTGAGATTATTTTAAAATTATTATCAAACAGCTAAACAAATTCACGAGCACTTATTACTGAATGCATTATTTGTTAGGACTTAAAATAATTTTTTACTTTTGTTCAAACTATTCGCATTCATTCAGATAATTGAAAATGTCTTCACATACATTGATTTGTATTATAATTATATTTACTGCATTTCAATTACAAAAGTCTTCAGTAATAAAAGATTCTCGACATTTAAATCAAGGAATTGACGGAACTTTTGTAAATATTCCCAAAACCAAACCAAAGGTTACTAAAGACCCTAAAAACATTAGAAATGACTTAGAGATAGCGGACAAACAAAAAGGTTTTGTGGATTCAAAGCCATCGGATGTAATACTTCAGCAGCAATCACATGAAGTATTAGTTCAAAGACAAAAGAGACGAATAAATGATACCAGCCCTATGGCATTAACCGACTCACCTACTAATATCCCATTGAGTACCACTAAATTGATGCCAATAAATAAGTCATCTGATGAACCACTAGATTCAGACTATCCCAGTACTACTATGGTTGACGGTAGTATTAATATAGGCATGGGGGCTAACCCACCAGCACAAAACCGAGCACCTGCACCGACATCGGCATCAGAATCCTATAATTATGCGCCCATTCTCTTACTTGCGGTTGGATTCAATATTTTGGTGATCACTGGTCTATTTTGGTATGAATTTACAATTTTACATATGTTTTCTAAATACAGTAAACATTCACTTTAAAAATTATCACTGATTTTAAAAATATTGAGACTAATAATTGATAATATTCAAAATATTCTTCTAATATAGGGGTCTAATAAAGTTTATCTCGTTTATTAATAAAGAGAATTTGGAGTACAAACAACTGGAAAGTATGCAAAACTTTTTAAAATTCATTTTTTAGATTATTAATATTTAATCAAATCATATAATTTTTTACTCTTCAGAGTCATTGAATCCAACGTCTGAGGGATGAACACAAACCACTGTTTCATTAGTATTGATCTTCAATTTATTTAAATTATATGTATTTAATGGTAAAAACTTTTAAATAAAATTTTAAATTAGACAAACAAGAATTGATTGCAAATATATGATTAATTTGAATGTTAAGTAGAGTATTGATCAGAATATTAATTAATAAACAAAAATATTGCATTATATTTCCCTGATTTTTAAAGAATTATATTATAAAATACTTGTATAATATAAAAATATTGAATCAAAATTTAAATATACGGCATTAATAAGTGTTTTAAATATGTTTAATGGACTCAAATAATAAACTTGAAAATAAATTGGTGTTAATTGCGATGAAAGGGCGGTTCGTTGGGGCGTCGGTTTGGGAGTTCAAACTGGACTTTGGATGAGCGCCGGAACGGGTCGTTTACGGACATGAATTGGGTGCCGGTTGTGAGGGGAACGGTGTTCTCCATCTCAATAGTCCGTTGCCGTAGCGCTGACTTCGGGTATGAGCGCAGACTCTCGTGTTGAGTGCCGTTCAGACCTTTTGCAGACAATCGACACAACAAATCATTAATCATTATCTCTTACGCAATGAATTATTTTAATATTCAAGTGTCTGATAGCACTCTATTGGCTCTTAAGTTATGCATAGGTCTTGTGATAACTCATAATTTTTTTTGTCTCATAGAAACTGCATTTAAATGTGTAATTTAAAAGCTGTAGTGTTTGAGAGGGTAGTCATACCAGTAATAGGCTCGGGTGGTGTCACTTCATCGGGTGTTTTTGGTGCGCTGAATGTGTTGGATCTGAAGTCCATATCTCTGACGGCATCATGACTTCGGGCACCGGAGATGTCATCCCTGCTGTCAAACCCCTTGTTATCCAATACGTACTCATTCTCTGGTCGGCCATCAGTGGGAGGGACCCATAATTTCTTCACAAATTCTGGCGATTCATTCACTGAAGTCAGTCTATTCCTCGACGAGGCGTACGACGAGTCCGATGTCTGGTTTGAAACAGGTTTGTGGGGCTGAATGGGATGTGATGTCTGGGGTAGTTGTGAAGCATGTAATGGTTGGCCACTATCTACGACATCAACTAAACACATTGAATATAAAATAATATTAAGTGTTAAAACAGGAATAATTATTTTTTACAAATAATATTTAATACACTATTTACACTGTATGCTAATATGCTATAAACACATTAAACACAAAAATTAAGCCAGTTTACAATAGTTTACAAAACTTCATTTAATGAAAATAACAATTTAATAAATTACTACTAAACAGTTAACACAAGCAAATAATTTTTCACAACTAAGTCACTAACAAATATATTTTGTTTCTGATGAAAAATTATTTTTACAATTCTTTTAAGAATTAATTTTTATGTCTAATAATTAAACTAATATTTTGCAAAAACTAATTGAATTCATAGTCATTACTATTTTTATTGATATTATTAGGAGTATTCCGGTTACTGGTCGGCGATGTATTGGTCTCTAAGTCCACGAATATTGGATTGTCTTTAGGTCCGCCGCCCTTAGCGTACAGTATGTCCTCATTTTGCTCGACTACCGGTGCGCTCGCATACTTTGTGTTATTTGCGCTCTGGGCCTGAGACCAATTGTGGGCTTGATATCTATATGGGAAATACAAAATCAGATAACAAGTTATGAATATTTAAAATCATTGATTATGTGAATGGAAACCACTTAAAAATAATCAATAATAAAGCAATAATAATCATAATATTTAGGATTATAATAAAACTGTTGGTTAGAGTTCTCGAGATACAGTACTAGTGTCGATAAAATAGAGGTTATTATAGTATGTGATGCATAGCGTCGGTAATATACTATACCTCCAGGCGACCAACATTAGGGCAATGGAGACGACAAGTATGACAATTATGGGTAAAATCATTCTCCAGAACGATATGGACTCATGAGCACAATCCGTCACTTTATATGTCTTAAAGACATCCTTCCCTCTCATGATATGCATCTCTCGACTGCCACTCTTGAAGAATATACTCTTCAGCACATTGTAGGCAACCATAGGCCAGTGCACGTCTATGGGACTCGTGATCGCCATTTCCATCTGACACGATATGTCACTCTTGCCGTTACGGATGCGGACATTGTCTTCGGTGTTGAATAAATACACTGAAAAATAGTGACACAAATATTAAACATTAATAAAAAAAAGGTATTCAATTTTTATTGCAACACAAAAATGTATCATTAGTTGCGAATAATTTATTCAAAAGAAGTAATTGTTTTCAAAACTTTTCTCAGCATTTATGCTGAAAACAAGGTATTAATTAAGAATTTAAATGGATTTTATGTTCAAATGGTTGTACAAGTAATTTACTGGTATTCCCTAATGGTATACCAGCTCTTAAATGTGTTTTTTCTGTTAGTTTTAATGGTGATTATATAAATGATTACCCGATTCACTGGAAACCAAATTCTTGACGTCTTTGTCGTCGGAGTCTTTGAAGAGGAAGACATTGGCGATGTGTACCAACTCGTCGATGAATGCCGTCTTATATGTGGTGTTAAATGTGGCACAACTCTGGTCTATGACACACACCTGGACGGCAGAGTCCCGCACTCGTTGGGGCACCTGTTCATCCGGACGGTCCGTTACAGTTATGTTGGGCTCATACCACCTGAACTTGAGAGCCGTTCCCTTCTGTTGGGTCAGTTGCTCAGCTGTTCCCGTTTTCAGGGAATTATGGGTCACTAAACTGTTGTACCACAAGTCATAAATAGATTTATGGATATAAACATAATTAAAACACAAATATAAGACATATATCATAAAATCCAATTTGACAAATAAAAAAGTGTACAAGGACATTATACCGAATATAAGCCGAATCGGCATAAATGAACACTTCTTGGTCGTCATCATCTTCGCCAATAAGTTCAGTGATTATCTGTGCTTTGCTTAACTCCCGGTGCGTTGGCTCAGAACCGGGTCCTATGAGCACGAAATCGCCAGAATCCACGTCAATGTCCAGGTATTCAATGTATATCCTAATGCCGACCCTAATATCCTTGCCTCCGGTGGGCGGCGGAGGCATCAGTTTATATGTGATGACAGTGTTTGGGACGTAAGCGACCTCTTGGTAGTGGTCTTCATCGTCCTTCCAATACAGTTCCCGCTCAGAGATGTCCCGGAAGTTAATCACGAAGTAGTAGATATCAAGAGAAAAAGTCTTTGATTTTGCTTTAATTGGGTCTTTATAATTGACTGTTAAATGCCGAACATCAAGTTTTGGGTCAATACCTGGTTCCTGGGTTTTTATTATTTCATCAGGTTCAGGTAACATAATTTCTACTCTAACCTACAAGAAAATCCATTCATTTTGTAGTTTAACTAAAGTTTACTTTATGTAAGTTGAGGTGTAAATGAGAATTTATCAGCAAAAATAATACTTACATTATTAGAATCGGATACAAAGGTCTCGTAATTATTAATACTTTGGTCACCGTAATAGTTACACATATCGGTGTGACCATCATTATTAAAACTCAATAAATGTTTTTTGGACTCCTCGTCGTATATCAATAGCTGACCATAAGGTTTACTACACACCTTCACCATCATTGCGATATATGATTCCCGAGGCATTTTGAGGGGATTGGATTTCTGAACATCCGCATCATGCATATGAAAGTATACGGGATATAAAGGCACTATCTGTTGGGGACAGGTATTTGATGCAATTAGATCTGTGAATAATTATTAATTCATTCATTACGGAATATATACCTGATTATTCACTGAAGGTGTTTGTATAGGACTGAGCAAACAGTTAGGCTCCGGTTCACTTTGTTCACCCAATTTATTACATAGATTTAATGAATGGCTTTTTTGGCTTATATTAGTGCCATATTCTGGCAATTGTGCACTCGTTTGGTCATCGTCTCCAATTTGTTCTCGCTTATTTATTGTAAATTGATCTGAAATATTAAACATGTATTGAAAAAATTCATAAAATTTAGGTTTCAATTTACAATATTTTAAAATTATTTTAAGGTTTAATTTATTATAATATAGAAATTATTTCTGACCTTTTAATCCGACCCCATAATTATCGTTAAATCTTATAACACTATTATTTGTACGATCAGTGACTCCGTCGGCAAAAATCCCCAATAATTTGGGTTCACTTCTGGATATGAGTTCCTGAGCACCGAAATACTGTCCACTCGTTTCATCCGTTATATTATTGTCGGCATAAGTATCACAAGAATTTGGGATTATATACACAAAAACTATTGAAATTGTAAGCACTTTATGAATTAATTTAAAACACAATTTGTTTGAAAACATTGTATGAATTGTTTTATAAAAACGTTTTAAAAGAAATTTACATAACTATTAAATTAATATTAATTTTATTATAAAAATTGTGCGATGAATAAAAAATATTACAAACTAAAAGTCAACACAAATCAAATTAATTGAATATCAAGTATGAAATCCTTAGACAATATCCGTATCGACACATACTTCACAACCGATAATGAAATAAAAGTTTTGTACAAAACTATTCACCAAATGATTAGTGTTTTATCGAAAGCCGTGTAAAATACGAAAGAATTCAATCGCAAAAATAACTATTCATTACGAAAAGCGTTTGACTAATCATTGGAAAAATGTTTTCTCACTAAACAACATATCTTATCGTAACTCCTTTTACCTGATCTGACATTTATCCTGAATTATTAGACATTATATTACAATAAAATGCGATAAACAGGTAAATATGAAACACACATATTCTCTGACTTAACCAAACATTTCTATGTATCCAAATTGACTCTCATTTGGGAGTTTTAATACCCTATTATAGCAAATGACTTACTCTGATGTCACTCATTTTTGTATTGACATTAAAAACTATTACAAAATCGAGTGACAATTATATGACATTCAAGCCAAGCGTTTCATTGCAATTATCTCTTCACTAAACTAGACATTGATTTTTCACAATTGCTTTACTAATACTATATTATAGAGTACTTATGCTTACTATTTGTGACATAAATAGCAGTATTTTTTGGAAAAATATCTTAAATTTTTGAATTAATAATATTATTCGCTTCACAAGACGTATACTTCTGTCACTTAAATAACAAATCCAAACCAATTATTGTCTCAAAAAAGATATTATTTATTAGTTTTCAATGTAATTTTAACTGTTATTTATGCATTTTATTATATAACTAATGAGTATCCAATTTAATAATTATACATTGAATACGAGAACAAAATATACATTTAAATTATGAAAAGATTTTTTGTCAAACTTTGTAAGCAATTGTGCGCTGTTTATAGTGAACTGATTTAAATATACATGTGTTTTATAAATCAATTTTTCTATAATTAATGTCTTTTTATTGTTATTAAAGTATAAGTTTCTTCAATCAACCGGATAAAAAGTTTTGGCAATAAATTTACCAACAAAATTAATTTTAATAATAGTTTTTATTCAAACACAAAATATTCTATAATTAATGTCTTTTTATTGTTATTAAAGTATAAGTTTCTTCAATCAACCGGATAAAAAGTTTTGGCAATAAATTTACCAACAAAATTAATTTTAATAATAGTTTTTATTCAAACACAAAATACTAAATCATATGAACGCTAAACTATAAATAAAGTAAACTTAAGAAATAAATAAAACAAGAATTAAGTAATTATAAAAAGTTTTATTCAAACATTTAGTCAAATGAATGCAAATTATAATTTCTTATGATTAAAAAAGCGTTATAAATATTGATTACAATGGTTTTGTTAAAAAACAATATTAATTACAAACACAATAGTTTTCAGTTTTAATTAAACAAATTATAAATTATAATAAATGAGATTCAATTGAAATATTCATATCATATTAAGTATTGATTAAAAATTAAGTTTAAAATGAGATATTGAAACACAAATTGACCAAAAATATGAAATATTCAAAAGTTTAGATAAAAAATAAAAAGAAATAAGATATCATAAATAGTATCAATCATTCCGCCTTCAAATCTTCGGGTACTAAATACCACATCTCCGTTGCGGATGTTGTACTCCACCAGCAATTTGTGGTCTTCTAATGGTTTGGATCCATGGATCAAAACCATAGCCTGAGTATTAATGCCCTCTTTTTCCTGAATCCTCCGCTTCAGAGTCAGCACATTGTCCTCTACAGTGGCGTTGATAACTGCAGTCTTGGATCCGTCGGCCAGTTTCACATAGATTGTCATCGGGAGGGCCGACACCTGAACTCCCACGACATCGCTGTTGGCGCCGGAAGTGGTGGCACCGACTGTGGATCCACCGCACGGACCAAAGCGACAGATGACCGCATGTCTTGACAGCTGATCCAAAGGCATGCGAACAGTGCAGCCGTCCCTATAGTTGCGACACTTGGCCTCAAATAATGTTTTGCACCGATCGGTGGGCCGGACGGACATCGGCTGCTGTGGCCGGAAGGCGATCGATGGGACACAAGTTGGTGACCGGAGTGGCCCTGAAGTATGAAGTGATACATACTTTGCAAAATAAATGCTCACAATTCAGTTGTTGTGGATCTTTGAGGATTGAGAGACAAATGGCACACTTGTACTCGTCCTCAATCTGCTCCACAAACAGATCCGAGTCGTATAAAGAGGTGTAGACCTCCCGGTCCTCTGGGGTGATGTTTGCGTTCGTGTCAGACATCACTTAAATCTATCGCTGTATTCAGAAATACAAGTTTTAAAACAAAACAAATATAATATTCAAGTTAAAAGTGAATTAAAAGAAAAACTTTTTTTCAATAACATTACAGGATATGAGAAAATGTTTTGAAAACTTTTATCTTAAATACGATTTAAATGTTTGAATTAATTGAAGCTCTGATTTCACGCTTTTAAAGAGATTTGCTTTTGTGGAGCCTTTTAAATGTTTGCCACAAACTGTGGGAATGTGTGATAGAGATCTGCGTTTCATTAAGCCATTGATTTGTATTGAAAATGAAAACTTTCATACAAATGATGAGTCGATTGCAATAATACTGTTTCATTCAAACCTCTATTGATTTGAAAGTATTGCACAAAATAAGTCACAAGTTTTTGGTTAAATGTTGCATTGAATTGAAAATCACATGTCCATCACATGCCCTTTAAACCTATTTTAATGGACAAAAACTTTTCTGAGAAATATTAACACACAATATATTAATTTTTCAAAATAATCATTTTTAGAGTTAATAAAATTAATAAATTGACTTAAATACAGTATAAAACCAACTCTTAAAGTAATAAAATAAACTTAATATTAATTTTTGAATTTAATTCAATTATTTATTTATAAAAATACAATTTATAATTAGATTTTAAACAAAACAAAATGCATTTCATTTAAACTAATTATGAATATAAATAGTTTTGAATTCAAAATCATTTCATAAAAACAAATCATGTTTTGCTCTAATAATGAAATTATGGCACTAAAGGGAAATAACAGTGAATTTCTCTACAATTATTCGGGAGTTGAGGGTTGAGGTGATGGGGAGGGGTGTGATGTCGGTGCTACTGAAGGGGCCACTGTAGGGCCAGTAGTTGGTCGGACAGTAGGTCTGGCCGTTGAACCAGCTGTTGATCCGGCGGTAGGTCTAGCCGTTGAACCAGCTGTTGATGCGGCGGTAGGTCTAGCCGTTGGCCCAGATGTCGGGCCAGAAGTAGGACCAGCAGTAGGACTAGCTGTGGGTTTAGTGGGAGCAATGGTGGGATCGGTAGGCCAAGTGAGTCCGTGATCGTTGTACACACAGGTCTGGTTGAGTTCACTAAAGACTAGGTCTTCAGGACAGGTGATGACATAGCCTATGCCTCCCTGACAGTCGATAAACTTGTGAGGATTGCCCGNGGCCAGAAGTAGGACCAGCAGTAGGACTAGCTGTGGGTTTAGTGGGAGCAATGGTGGGATCGGTAGGCCAAGTGAGTCCGTGATCGTTGTACACACAGGTCTGGTTGAGTTCACTAAAGACTAGGTCTTCAGGACAGGTGATGACATAGCCTATGCCTCCCTGACAGTCGATAAACTTGTGAGGATTGCCCGGCATCTCAAAGAGACCATCAGGTTTTGGGCACTTGACTACCGGGACGTCGGGATCTCTATCGCAGGTCTGCTCCTTCTCGTCGAAGACTAGATTTCCCGGACACCAGAAGCCGGCGATCCATTTGCCACGAGAGCACTGGTGGAAAATGTGGGGATTCAGGGGGTCTCTGAACATCTTATCCGGGTCGTGACCCTTACAGCTCACCGGCTGTATCGGGGGTCGGGTAGTGCCCTCCATTTCCTCGTCTATGGGCCAACAGTAGGCTATATATCGTAAATAAAAAATAATTTAATTGAAACGAAATTTCGATTCCTTTATTCAGATTACACTAAAAACTTACCAAAAGTCAAGAAAACAGCAATAATTGTAATTCTAAACATTTTCTAAAAGTTTAGTTTAGTTTGAAGTAATTATTTGGTTTAGTAATCAATTCAATGACTATTTGAAGACAATTGATGAGTGATTGAGTGATTGATTCAATATTTATATGATTTTGAAATATATTCAGGATTTGTAGTAAAAATATATCCGCATTTACTAGATTATCTATAATTAAAATGAGTTCAAAATGTGAAANATATGATTTTGAAATATATTCAGGATTTGTAGTAAAAATATATCCGCATTTACTAGATTATCTATAATTAAAATGAGTTCAAAATGTGAAACAATTGTTTGTATTGTGAAACAAACACAATACTATTTCAACACACAATTTAGAAAAAGTATTTTATTCCTAGTACTTGATAAATATGAGATTAGCTTCTAATTAATTTATAGTATACTTTTATCTCATATTTATTTATAATTAGTTTGCGATATCACAATGCAATTAAAAAATGTTTCAAATATTTGGTGATTTCCTTATAATTATAAAGTAATTGAAATCTGTTTATCGTTATATAGAATTGATAACAAAATTAGTTTTGAAACACAATTAATTTTCATTTTTCTTTCACTTAATGTTTGCAATAGTTAACAGAATTTGTATTAAAATCAAAAGCAATATTTATTTTGAGAAAAAGATATTAATATTTGTTTACAACTAAAATCAATTCTTAAGAAAACAATTGAACTTTTTATGTTTAAATGAAATACAAATTAAAAATAATTTCAAAGAATAATTAAGTATTTTAAAAAATAATTTCAAGAATTTTGTGTTAAATGCAATACAATATCAAATTCAAATAATTATATGAATTAAAGTTAAAACATATTTTGTTGATTAATATAATAAAAAATGTCAATAATTAAGAAATAGTTAAGAAATAGTAATAAATGTTTATAAAACGGCAATAATTATAAATGTTTTAATTAAAAAATAATTATTAAATTACTTAACATTGCGCTTAACATAAACCAAAACATAAGCTTCGGATGACTGCAGTCTTTTATCCGATATCTCATCGACGTAAGAGTCGTTGAAATGATACCACTTTTGGTTGCGATAATTCTTAGCACAAGCCGTATAGTGTCCAAAATAAGAGGATCCGCTATAATTGGACACCCCTGTCAAGTCATACATATAGTCTTCCCCTGATGTCTGTCCATTCACTACATAATTCTTAAGGTCCAATTCAATGGGAAACTCGCAGTTATACAGTTTGCCGGGACTTGACTTCAATTGCAATAGCAGTACATTAGGTGCGTGTTGTATAGCGTATGATTGGTTTGAGAATTTGTTCCCGCTATTAGTGTTTAGCCGGGTACTTGTCTGACATCCCGAGCATTTCTCATCTGAGATATCGTATGACAAGTATTGGTTGAGACAGTCATCGAGTTTTATGATGCGGTCATCGCATGCTCTGGAGTTATGAGGTCTCACATTAATCTCTTCGTACTCTTCATAATAATCTCTAAACTCATTGCTCATACGGGAGTAGACTATGAAAGTGCTCACAAAATATGGCAAATCAGACGCCCAATAAAGGCTATCAAACTTCCTATCATAGTATCTGAACTTTGTTTCTTTCAACTGCTCATACATCTGACAATCAGTATTTAACAAGCATTTGGATAATTGTTCAGCAAATGCAGTGACAATATTGGCATAACTACTGTCATAGACATTCAATAGCAAAGGTGTGCCAAATCTGTCGGTCTCTGACAGTGAAATGAAGTAATGTTTGGGAAATGAGGGGTCGATCTCATAGACATAAATATGACCTGATATTCGGTTGAGGTTCAGGATCTCATTCTTGCCATAAACACAATGTATGGTGTGATCGACAACATTAGTGACAATGAGATGCTTTTCATTCAGTAATTCTGAAGTGATTTCATGGAAAGTTTGTGACAATATTCTTATCAATTGAATGATATCATGTATGGATTCTTTCAGATAAAATCATCTTTATATAAAATTACATTTCATTACTGTATAACTATAAATTGTATACAAATATTAATTGTTTGAAAACCTATTATAGTATTGTATTTTTGACTGTTAATTGTGATTATTTTTATAACTTATTAGAAACTAGAGTGTAATATAGATAAGGATTTGATTCATTTAAATCAACGACATATGCAAAAATTGCGGGATATTTGCACAAAGTATGGCATTCATGTGAGTGAAGACTATTGTCAAAAACAAGACACTTCCAGATCTGTAGTCAAAGCATGTCAGCGTTTTTTGGGCGAATATTGCACTGATACTGGTACTCCAGCAACACTCAATCTAATAATTAATAAAGCATCCTGTCTCTCATTAAACTCTATGCTAAATATGATTATAATTACAAGAGTTATTGTTTACATATTAACTAATTCCGTACTTTATATCTGATACATCGATTTTCAATGTGTTCATAACTTATTGATATGTTAAGACAGATAACAATTAAAAAGTAAAGAATTCAATTTCTTTATTGAATTTAATGAATAACAAATATTGTATGATAAATAATAAACAACTAAATGTATGATTATTTTTAAACACTTATGATATTGTTAATTATACACAAAGTTATTAACATTTTACAGGAATTAAATACAATTTATAAAATTAATTTTATATGAAAACACTACTTAACCAAATGGAGAGACAGGTCCTTCGCCCTCAAGACATGCTATCCTAAGTCCCTGCGGATTGTACCAGGTCCACCTCAGTTTATATACACCCTGATAATTAATTAATTGCAAACAATTAATAAATCACAAACAACAGAACACCTTGCCCACATAATACCTCAGCAAAATAAGATTGAAATGACGTCAACTTGCGCTCCTGTACCTTAACTCTGAAATGATAACCGACCACTTTTTTGGGGCTCATCGGACAGCCACACGAGCCGTTGCCAAAGGTTTTTGAAAACGTGCAGAAATTATCGTAGTCAGCAACTCGACAGATATCGTAATCGCATGAACCAAACTTATTAGCGCAGGGTATCTTAACCTGGATGGGCATGAATAGCATCTTCATGAGTCGCCACACCTCCACTTTGGACGTCGAGCCGGCTTTCACTTCGTTGAGTATGGTATAGGAGGCGCCGATGGTTAGGTTCCGGAGCCGCATGGGCTCCTGTATGCGCACGTCCTCCCACCGCACACTGGCGTTAGTGCCCCCGCAATCCGACCACTTCAGCAACTTTATGGTCGAGTCGCCACCGACTGGCTGTTGTAGTAGGCCTGACACGAAAGTCACCAAAACTACTGATAAGATCAGTATTACACATAAATTCACTAATAATTGTGACATTATTTAAGAAATTGTATGATTTCCACTATATTTACAATATAAAATATTAAACCACTCTAAACGTTAAGCCTTTTTATAGTCAAATATGTTAGAGTTAATTTGAAAAATAAAATATTTTATATAAAAAATTAAAAATACACAATTAAAAATTATATGCATTTGTGTTACAATTAATACGAAATGCGATAAAGACCTCCATTTATAAATTGGAGGACAATTCAAATTAATAAATCATCATTTAGTTTTAAAGTTTAAAACATTATGTTGTAGAATAAGTATTATATGTGTAACGTAAATAGGTCTCATAAGTTACTTCATAGTTAATACAATATAGTATTTCTATATTTAATAAATAAATAATTAAACCAAATCAAAACAAACAAATAAAATGAATTAATTAACCTGATTAATGAAATAAAATGATATGACAATTAAGGTTGAGTCACGATAACCTTAAACCTCTATAAATGACATCTAATTAAAATAACAATTTTCATAAACCTTGAGAATTATATTTATATTTTATGTTTAACTGAACATTGCTATATTTAATTGAATTTATTTTATAACTTTATCATCAAATGATTTGATAGCATCTAAACCTTTTCTAATCTCTAAATGAATGTCTAATACATTGTAATTCATGGCTTATAATTAAATTGACAGTTAGTCTCCATTCGGGGTTTATAAATGTGTGCAGGGTTTATTACCGGTAATAAATAAAAGTTTATAAATTTATATCAGCTTCTTTTTATAAATCCATTTTATTACAACTTTATTATGAATGTTACTATAAATGAAAATTATAACGAACAGATAATGTTTATATACAGAAAGATCAACTTCTAAATTGTTAAATATGAACACATTTTATGGTTAATGGTAATCAACACTAGATTTATAAAACTTAAATAAAATATTTATTTAAAAAATAGCATTAACTACTGTAATAAAAACATTTGTCTAATCAATCGGTTTATCGTTGCTTGAAATTACTGCTAATTTCTTTTCGACAAGAATTTGGTGCAAAAACAGCAAATCAGTTGTATCTATAGATCTGATTCTGTCATAAAATCTGATGAAAACCCTATATCTGTCGCACCGGTAGTCAATGAAAGCGCATTCAATGGGTCCACTATAACTGTATTCCTCCAGTCTTTTGACCAAATTTACGGCCCATTGAGACCAGTGTTGACCACTTTTGCCAAACGGACGGACGGCCGTCAACTGGACTTTCAATGCCTGCGCCGGCAGTTCACTGAATCTCTTCAACAGTAATCGCATTTCATTGACATTCGCGTCGATCACATCCCCTATG